CAGTCTGATCTAGAGGTGACAAAGACATCGACCATAGTAGCTAAATTCACACCCAAGAGAAACGAGCACAGCCTCCTAGTCAGATCTAGATGGACAAAGGTGCTTTGACCAAAGCTATTCTTTTATCCTTCAAAAGCAGCTGGGAATCTAACCCGACCTTCAAGTTGTGAGCGGAGGTCATAAAAAATGAACACAGCCTCAAACTGGAGGCATGGCATCAACTCAGTCTCATCATCCTGCTGCTTCCCCCTCTCCCCATAAACACTTCACTCTAACCCAGCTCACTTTCATCTATGCCCCACCCTCATCTAAACTCTGAGACACCTGATCGCCCTCCCTGGGTTGGTGGAGATGGAGATGCTCAATTAGGTGTTATCTGCATACTGAGAAGGCCTCAGCTCAAACCTCCCCACTAAGTCCCCTAATGACCTCAGACACACATGAATCATGAGGGATGGCAGCATAGAATGCTGATGTACCCCACAAGAAGGCGCCACAGCCAAACCTCAGAGAGAAGTGAAGGGAACTCGAGTCTCTGGGAAGGTAAAGGCTTTTCCGAAGGAGCAGAGACCGGGGGGTCAGTGCTTGTGTACGTGAGTGTCAGTAGGACTTGCAAGGGGTTCTGAGAGGGGATTCAGTCTACTCGGAGGCTATGTCTACTATAATTCAGTTACTCTGGGCTGCTCATTCAGAGTTAAAGGGCCTCTGTCATCAGCTCAAAATTTACATTTGGTGGAAATAATTTTTTCCAAACCCTACCTGCCCCCAGGAACGTTTCCTCTTCTATTAGCAGTGAAAACAGTTGTTTTCATACAAATAAACTGCGAACATTTGCAACCTAAGATGTGCATCTTGGAGAACCTGGGAGCAAAACTGATTACAAGCAAAATGGAATGGACTTAGTCAGTTTCCTTTGTCCAAGCTAAAGAAAATACAACTGGTGAATGAAGAGCATCAGCAGTGAGAGGAAAACTGGATTTTTAAAAATCCTCTCCCATTTCGACTCTCTAGTGTTATTAGAGACAGGGGAGGAAATCCGTTTGTTTAAAGAGTATGATTTTTGAATGGATCACAGATTCCCTTTCAAACTGCACTCCAAATGCAAGATAAAGACAGAGTGATGTGCGGAAAGGCTGCTGATGGTGTCTTTATTGTGTGATTTGCCTTGGTTTTTCTGAAGTACTTCTTTTTAGCCGATTACCATGTATTTACAGTTAGCGTAATTATATCTAATTACTTAATTAGTGTGAATACGTGTAATTACTAACTTCGAATATGCAATTATGTCAGGGCAGCCTGTAATAAATGCGGTTGTAAAAAAAACCCTCATTAGCACTCTATAGAAGGACATCGGCTCCGCCCACATGGTGAATGCATCGCAGTGTTAAGGCTGCACCAGTCCCGACAGAGGAAAACAAACCAAACAACCGTCGTGCCCAGTCTGCAGCAGCAGCAACAAAATCAGAGAAGGCTCTGAATGACTCCAGCATCGCTGTTTTTACTGGGGCCAGAGCGTCCTGTTCTGAGAGAGCAGCCCCGACTGACCCTTCACCCCAGACGCAAACTGAGAAATGCCTGAGATCTCAGTAAGCAGATATGCCCACCTGATCCCTATTTCGTGTCCCAGAAAAAAGGGACTCTATATTGCCGCCAATTCTTCTGAGATCAACATGCCCCATCTTAAATCTGACACTCAGCTTAACTCCCTGCAGGGGAGTGAGAACTACTGAAGCTGAAGCTTTTATTTATTAACAAAATGCATCCTTCCAAGCCATGGCGCTGACCGGTGCACATGGAGTTATGGCTGGAAGGAGCAGAGGGAATGGCAAAGAGTAGAGCACGAGGTCCCAAAGTGTCAATATGTCCCAACACAGGGACAGGGTGGCACATTTGCTTCCAGGCCCTTTCCCCAAACCCACATCTAGGAAGGGAAGAATGACTCCTCCCGTCTCTCTAATTCTGGAAGCAGCAGCAAGTAGGTGAGTGAGAGAAAGGCCCTGGTCTCAGGAGTTCCCAGAAAATCACAGGTGAGAGAGAGAGCTCCAGCATCCTTCATCCTATTGACAGGGAAAAAAACCCAGCACATCCATAGTCAGAAGCAAACGTCTGTCTCCTCGCAGACAGCAGTAATTAATGGGTCTGTAAGAGTACCCCCCGCAGGACAGGTTTGTGCAGAAGCAGCAAGAGGGGGCAAAGCTTAGCAGGCAGCAAGCCGCTTTCCATATTTCATCTGCAATTCCATTATGCAGAACTAAGTGGCTGGGAATAAACATCCATCATTCCCGCATGATAAGCGATGTTTGTTAGTGCAGAGGGTGACGGAAATCTATATCGCACCAATGTACTATTAATACTGCATTAAGCACAGAGAGTTTTCTCTCCTCACTGTAATTCAGTAACAGGTGTCTGCGTGTCCTCAGCCCAAACACCCGGCGTCACAGCCAACCAGAGAGGAGGACCAAGCTAAAGAAAGAGAGAAGCCACGTTCCAGTGTCTACAGATGATACGTTAACAAAACCTGTATTTGAACCTGGGCTCTACAGGTTATGTGGGGGTGAATGCCATTGCTAGCGATGGGCTTCATAGTCTAATATCCAACTAGTGGACTTAGCAGGAAGGCAGTGATCAGAAGGGCAGGGGCTAACTGGCACTGGTATGTCCAGGCATTGTACCAGCCCCTTTTCTGGATGGACTCTGCTGGGTATTAATAGGCTTGCCTATCTAAAGGGCTTCACCTCTCCTTCACAGAAGAAAGGGGGAGGAGGGAGAAATATTTTAAGAGGAGCAAACCAGAGGTCCAATGTGTAAAATGCTGGGTGAATGGGAACAGTCACTCACCTCCAGCCAGACCCAACACGTCAAATGAGGGCTGGGCAGAATGGCTTGGGTAAAATAAAAACCAAATGGAAGCTCCAAAGAGTCTGGTTGGTTTTATTTATTGTAAAGGTGAACTATAATACTTTCCAGGGCTCAGGCCACACTGCTACTGAAGTCACAGGTCTGAATAAGAGCTGCAGGATTGGGCCCTAAAATATACTAAACTAATGCCAGAAACATGGAACCCTGCAGATGATTCCAGGTAGGTAAGCAGAGAGGCAAGTGCTTTCCCTGTAATCTGTTGTGCGTGTATTTATTGACAATGTTATATTCTCCCCATGTTATATTCTCCCCATGTGGCCCGGTTAAATGATCCAGATTCCAGCCCCTCATGGTTCTGCTGCATATTGAACTTTTCAGATCTTAATCAAATGGAACCCGTGAAACTTTCGGACCAAATTCTGCTGCGATTTACTTCCCGGGCAGCCCCACAAAACTCAGAGTAAATTGACTCCTTTGACTTTCAACCACCACTACTACAATGGTGCTTACACACCAAAATGGTTGGTGTACTATGAAAGACCATAGATTACAGAGATGAGAGAGAGAAAGCAGAGAATCAAAGCCATCAGAGTCTGTAAAGTGTTTTGAGATGAGGTGCTATAAGAAATATAAAACATAAATATGATACAGAAATACCACACTATTTGGCTCCTTCTGCCTAACCAAAACACTCCACCCCATCCCTGTACAAACAGACCAAAAGAAATACATTAAAATACAAATCAAAGGGAAAGCCAGGCACAGTGACTGGATACACCCCATTGCTCTGGTGATTGAAGTGCAACAAGCAACAGTCCAGGATTGGAGGTCCAGCTCATGTTTCTCTCTATCAGTTCTTGTGAGTGTCAGCGATAGGACCAGCCCTTGACATCTCAGCAGGAGGGGAAAGGGATGCTGTTCGGGCTTATCTGATTGCAAAAGAGGAAGCCATGGAGAACCAACTTCTTGCCTAATGTTCAGTACTGGGTAAATTTCTAATGGTTTGGAAGTTTGATTCCTATGAACACCTTAAAGCTCAGTGGCTGACTCAAATTTTTCCAGCCTCCCAAGTTGGCAAAAACAGACTGGAAGTCTGGCTCTCCAGCAAGATCCCTCGTACTTCCTGCTCCTGGTCAGCCCGGAAAGATAGTGACAATAACTTTCCTTGTGACATTTTGTTACATCCAATCCTGACTTGAACCAAGAAATGCAAAATATTCCAAGAACCTGAACAGTAACTGGAGTGGGGGGTGGTTGCTTCCAGGAATTGGCAAAGGCTGAGGGTGCAGCGAGAGGTTTGTATCTGATCCACTGACTGTGAATAGGCTCCACATATTGAGGGACAGTGGCCCGGGAAGCAGTCGTGGTATGTGGTGACCAAGAGTGCATCTTTTTTAATAGCCCTTCACTTTTACTATCAGAGTTTATGAGGGCTCCCGCTAAGCTGGGATGGACAGTTTATCACCTCGTGTGGAAGATATTTGCTATTTAATGGATTTTGCTCACAATGCAGATTTCAAGCTTTTCAGAGGCCCCCCTGAGTGTAAGAAATGAAGTGTCTGAATCTGTTGCTCTCCTGCTCCAAGTGTTTTCTGTGTATCTGCCCTACCTGTAGACACTGCTGTGTTTGCCCTTTGGGCTGCAGGTTGTTCAAGGAGGCAGTCCCGCTGCTATGAGGGTAGGGAATTGTTGGAGAAGGAAGGGTAGATGCATTCTTATCACACATAGGAAGCAGGTCTCTCTAATGCCTTGTGCTCTCAAGTTGCACTGGCTCACGCCTCTGGTACAGTGCCCAAAGCAAACGTCTGCAGGCTCCATTCTAGGCTGTCTCTGTCCTGAATGGGGAAGGTGATTAGCGGGTAGTGGTAGGAGGATGAAAGTGGAGTGGAGGGTGAGGGTGAGGGTGGGAATTCTCCTTCTGAAGCACCTTCATGTATGTTGTGATTTTTGAGACCTGAGATTTACCTTGGGGTTCACTTTCATCTCTGGACCATACAAGACCCATTACCCTCCCCCACATCCTCTTCTTCCTTTACCTCTTCCTCCTCATCCTTCTTTCCCCACCCACTTCTCTTCCCCCACCCCCGCCCCCATTCTTGTCCTCTCGTAAGCAGAAGGATCCAGCTGAATAAGGCACTCACATGTGTCTGGCTTGTGGCAGTTGTGGCCTTGCCTGAAGTACTGGGGGTTCTCGATGACGGGGATACGGGTCATGCCGATCACCACCGTGTCCGGGCCAGCATCCAGCGACGAGGGTGTGGTGATGCCATGGTTGATATGATGGAGGGGGCTGGCAGAATCCTCCTCCCCGCTGATCACTGCCACGGGACCTAGAGCCATCACACACAAAAACATCAGACAACACAATGAAGAGACAAGTGGCCCAGATCCCTGTGTGGTTCTTCTGTTCACTGTTACATACAGTTCACCCAGGTTAGTCGCGTCAGCTGGACAAAGACTAATCTAACCTCCTGAACAGGATTAATTATCCTGGGAGTCTCCCAGACAATGCACGGGTCCTGGGGAGAGCCCTTCCCGTTCACCATTCCGGTGAGCAAGCCAGACTGAATCCTGGAGACCAAAGTCCTCTCCCTCCAGAACTACAGCACGGGCAGCAACAGAACAGGCTTCAGCCCTGCCCTGGAGGGCCACCGGCTTTAGGCCCTGCAGGACAGTTCAGCCTCTGTGGTGTTCATATACTACAGTGCTGGGTGTGATATGAGAACCGAGAGATTAAACTGGGAACCGAGAGCGCAGACTGGAGAAGCAGCATTCTCAAATAGGGCTTCCTGGGTCACACGCTGTGCTCAGATGACATTTCCCTCTCACCACCCATGTACACCTCCACCTTCCCTCTTTCCCTGCCTGCATGCACACAACCACTCGATCCAGCTGATGTGCTTGGGAACCTGTGATCCATAGGAGTTAATCCTGAGTGAATCGCACAGTGATGGAAATGCACCCCGCTCCTTCCTAACTGTGTGCTGAGCAACCCACACCCTCTCCACCGGAGCCCCTCCGAAGCCAGAGCATTCACAGACAGCGGGAGAAGAAAAACAGCCAGTGCTCTCTGACTGCAATCCAGGGGAATCCCCCCAACCTTCTCCACCTGCCATCAACTTGTTGGGCTGCTCTTGCCTGAGAAGAGGCTGCAGGAGGATTTTCCCACTGGCAGAGCTTCTCCTTGCTGGCACTCCACAGTGTTGGCTTCTCCACGCTCCGCCTCTCTCCGCCTCTGCCACAAAAACCCACAGCCAGCACCAGGAGCGAGCCCCAAGCACGGTGCAGAGCCAGGCAGCAATTGGAGCATGCTTTGGGCTGAGCTGTAATAGGCTCAGGAGAGTTCCTCCTCCCCATCTTCTCTAATTTGACTGGTGCCATCTCAAGTCCTTTTTAACTCCCAGTTCCCCATCTGCTGCTCACGTCCAGGGATGCTTTATCAATCTCGTCACTCGGTCACACTGCTGGGCAGCAGGACTAATGGAGAAGCCCGGAGTCTCTCTCCACGCTGGCCTTCTAAGCCGAGGCTGACACTTGTCACCCAGTGGGAACTGCATGGCAGGTGAGCCGTTGCAGCAGCCCGCACAGTAGACCCTTACACACAAATAGTTCCCTCCCTTCTCCCAACGCACCCACATCCACAATCACCTTAACACCCCAAACACCGGTCCCCTCTCCTTCTCAGACACCCCAAAATACTTCACCATCCGTGTACACCTCCCTGCCCTTTCACAAACCGCCCTCTCCAAAACACCACATGTACACACCCCTCCAACCACTCATGCTAACACTGCCAAATGGGCACACTCAACCTCCCCTCAGACACCCTAATGGCCCAAACACTGCAAACATACAGCCCACTTCCTGCAAACACAGACCCCCTCACATCCAAGCATGCACATGCACACACACATCCAAATCCCAGAGTACGGCTGCTCTAACCCCGCCCCAACACACACCCATTTTCATACGCAAAAGGATGCCCTGAAGAAAGGGACAGGTGACCTAATAGCCAGGGTTCAGCTTCTCAAACCCATGAATATGTTACAAATCTCAGTTACACCCTGATTTTTACAGCCCCAGTTGTAAAACTGCCCATCAGCTTTCACGACGGAAAGTTCTCAAGGCCAGAAAACCGCACGGGACTTCAGAGGCCAGGAGGGATCATTATGAAATGTTCTTTCCACAAGCCCCATGATCGCATCCATCATTTCCCCACGCCCCTGGTAAAGCCGAAAATTGCAAGCTTCAGCCACCTGTCTTGCATGAATGGGAAACTGTGAGGAGCTTGGGAATGAGAAGACTCCAACGCATGCTTTTGCAAGGACGCTCTCCTCAGCACCCTAATCAAACACACTGCAATTTATTCAGACACCGAGGGAAGAAAAATCCCAGCCATCTGGTGATGCGTCTCTGCTGTTTTCCGGAAGCTACCAGGGGCTAACAGAAGGTTAAGCCAAGATGAGCAGAGCTGCTCCACCTTCTACCTGCGCCGAGTAGAAAATGTCTCTCTCCTGTCACTAATCTATTGCTAATTGCACAATTACTTTATTATGTAGTGCTAGCAACAAAGAAGAGAGTCTTGAAGTCATTTTACTCTCTTGGAGCTTCTGAGAGGATCCAGAGAATATGTGCTTCATTCAGACATTCTGACTGCATTCATTTAGTCTAATTTCTCAGACTTCAAGTACTGTTTGTTCTTCCGAGTGGAACATAATAAAGTTATTGTGTAATTAGCAGATTCCTGGCAGGTGTTTTACTCACAAGAAAGAAGTCTCTCCCTTTACTGTGAGTTCCTTTTGGCAGGTTCTCGCCTTCTGTCAGGGCCCAGATTACTCTCAGCTCCTGTGATGTTACAGAAAACACAGCGGAATTCAGCTCCCCAGCAAAATGCCTGCGTTAAGACTACAGCTATTGTGTTTCTCCAAACACAATAAACAAAAAGCAATTTCAGTCTGAATGACTTATTTTAGATGAAGAGAACATCACCACCACCACCACACACACACACACCACTCCCACCAAAGAAAGAACAAAAGCAAAGTCTTTTTCATGGTAGGTGTTTCCTCTGTCACAAACTGCACTGAGAAGTGAACATAACATGACGTCTGTCTCTGCAAAAAATCTGGTCTACTATCCTAGTATATGGCGCTTGTATCTTGATCGACATGTTTCTGTATCCTGCACCCTTAAATGTAGGAATGTCACCCTCCCGCCTGCAGAGAGTCTATAAAGGTCCCACTTCCCCCTACGGCAGTGGCAGAGGCCAACTGACAACCTCACGGGTCTCTCCAGGCAGCAGGATCTTTGGATTTAGGGGAGCTGATGGAAGTGCTGGGCAACTGATAGGAAAACCCATCCTCAGGAGATTCCAAGCGTGCCTCCCAGAGCAATGAAGCCTGGATAATGTCTCAAAGGTGGGATTAGCACCAAACTTTTGGGACCTGTTCCAAACTGAGCCACATCTTTGAACCTTGAGAGCTTCACCCACCTTTAATGATTCGTAACAATTCACTGATGCTGTGCAATTCATTTGCCAAACCAGACAAAATCGGAACATTAGTACACTCTTGACTAAGCTGATGAGGGCTGGGGGGGCGCAGGGGCAGGAGAAAAGGGAGGGGACAGTAACCAAGATTGCCCTAGGGGCAGGTTGAGATCAACTGATCCAGCAACAGACTTGCGATACTGCACTAGCCAACATAATGAAGCTGATTGTACACGACAATACACTTAGTTCAGGCAGCTCCACAGAATACAAGAGGCTGCCTGCAGAGGGGAGCATGCCTGGTGACTCCCTGGCTAATGTCTACCTAACCAGGTCAGCACTGAGGTCTTCAAACTGGTGCTCCTATCCCTCAGGTTGAAGGTGGGCTTCAAACTGAATCCCAAGAAGGCAGAATGCAAAAGAGGCAGAGAAGAACCATAGGCATTAACGATGGACAAGACCCATTACAGTAGGTCACATCAAGCCCATTCAACCACCCCATCAATGTAGGGCTGTCCCGTTTAAATGTCTCAAGCAATGGGGCTTCCACCACTCCCCTTTTGGACACTAGAATCTCATGGTCTTACCTCACTGGTAGGAAGTGTTTCCTGGAGTCGCTCAGCAGTTTCCTTCTCTTCATTCCATCCCCACTGCTCCTACTTCAAGCTCTTTTCGAATGCTCCCCAAAATATCTCATGCTCCTTGATCTTTACACCCTTCAAAGGTCTTTGTAGATTTCACTCTCAGGTAATTCCCCATAGCAGGCTGTCACCCATGCCAACTCTCTTTCTCCAGGCTCAGCCCACTTCCTCCACTTTCGCTTACTCTTCCATACATTGGCATTTCAGTCAGGCCAGGTCCACTCTACAGAATTCTGTCAGCATACCTATGTCAGTTGGGGGGTGGGTGAAAAAACCACAGCCCCTAGCTGACAGCTATGCCAGCAAAAACCCCAAGGCAGACACAGCTGTGCCGACAGAAGCAGAGCTAACATTGTTGCAGGAAGCGGTGCAACTCTGTTGACAGAAATACTCCTTCTGTTGTAGACATAAGCTGCATCCACACTAGAGGGCTCTGACAGTATAGCTGCCGGCAAAGCATCTGTAGCCTGGACAAGGCCTCAGTCTAAACCAGGGGTCTTAAACTCAGTTTACCTTAGGGCCAGTGCCAGTCATCAAATCCTCCTTGCGGGCCAATAATGTCACTGAAGATGGTGTTCAGAAAAGAAAACGTTTATATTGTATTTTTTTATTTTGAATTTCTTAGAACTAATGAAACTGTCATACAACTTTATACAATTCTTCGCCTGCCAGAGAGTTTTTAGTGTTTGCCAGACACCTGGCAACGCTTCAGTTCTGTCAATTTGTTGATGTTTGGCCTCAGTGACTGAGCAGTTGAAACCTTCAGGATTGAGCAAGGTGTGCATCAGATAGTTGTGTTCGGTATTTTGACTTGTTTATATTCATTGTGGAAAAAAGTGACGCTGCCTCCATGGCTGACTCTGCCCGGCAACTAATGATGCGCCCTCCATGGCTGACTCTGCCCAGCAACTAATGATGCTGTTTCCCTGCCTGATTCGGCCCGGCGACTAGTGATGCTATCTCTGTCCCTCTCCCCCAGCCAATGGGAGCTGCAGGAGGCAGCGCCTGCAGCAGACAGAGCCGACAGTGGCTGCATGGATCTGTCCTCCACAGGCCGCAATGGGGAGGTTCTCGGGCAGCAGATGGCCCATGGGCCAGGACTTTGAGACCCCTGGTTTAAACAGAGAGCAATTCTTTGGTTAGCACCCCGAATGGGCCTGGTGTTTAAAAGGGGCTGTCAGGGATCCCTAAGTGCCAGTTA